GTTGTAGACATATTGTGGGCCAGAGCCTTCGTGTGATCCGTTGACCTGATCTCCCGTGAATCAACTTGTTGAGCAAACATGTTCCAGATGCGAGTCAGCCTAGGAATGAATGTTCGCTGAAGTAGTGATGTTCTTAAGAAAGGTACTTCCAGCATGAGACTGTTGAAGGTTGAGAGCCTAGTGCTACGGGTGTCAACTTCTGGTGGTGCTATGTGTGGCAACTACTGGTAGTCCACGGAGTTGCGCCAGGTACAGAACTTTGAGGATGTTTGCCTAGTACATAACCGTAAGACCATACACAGAGAAATTCCATTAACGTAATATATCAACGAAATAATTCACAGGAGCCTTGATGAGGGTTCGAGCCTATGTGCTAGATGTACCCAGATGCGCTCCAGTCGACAGCACCACGACATACATGGTCATCAGTATTGTCACCTGAAGTACTGCTGTACCCACAAGGATCCCGACGCTTTTACTGAAGCCTAACCGGGGTTTCACACAACTCCCCCATGCACTCGGGCTCTGTCAACCAGTGGTTCTACCTCTGACCATGTCGTTGGGTGTAGTTGAATCCTTGTTGGTTAAGTAGTATTACAGGTTGCGATTTTTTTTATCATGTAAATCAAAAGACCTCCTTTTCTCTCATTTTTTTCCTAAATAAGACTAGGATTTCTCCTTAGGAAACTTCAAGCTTTGAGCTGTTATCATACATCAACACAATGTGACCTGATAAGCCTACCCCCGTTTTCTCTTACCATTGTCCTATTCTTAGATCATCCCATTCTTCATTCTTTCCATTATTACACTCATCCTTTCGAACCTTTCATCCCATTCTTACCCTTCACCTTACTCTTACCTTCTTCTCTTACCTGCGACTCACCTCAGTCTTTCCTTATTTATTGGCCCGTTCCTTCTGCTCTTATCGCAACCAGTACATAAAAAAACACCATCACCAAAAAACTCTCATACAACTGAAAGTAGCAGAAGGTTCGTCTTCTGCAATATGATATCTTCAGGCCACAGAGATAGAAAGGTTAAATATCTCAAAAGGAATCAACAGGGAAATAGCAGTTCGGATATATAGACTACGTCTAGATTATAGATGCAACTTGGAGATTGGTGAACCCAGACAGGCCTCATCATCTGCTGCCAAACAATCACAGAAAAGCCACTACTTCACCATATCCTGGAATGCAAAGTAGTCAACGACCTTAGAAGAGCTTTAAAAGTCCCTGAATCTTCCAGTAACCACCCTGAAGCCATCATCACTGCCACTCTTCTGGTCAAAGAAAGGTGTCCAACAGCTGGATACTCTCATAAATTCTGTCAAGCAATATCCTTCCCCATAGCAGCCTGACGATTTACCTAACTACCAAAAGTGAAAAACTGAACTGAAAAAACTACCATTTACAAGCTATTTATGCCCATGCCACCTCTTAATCTTAAGAGGTGGCTTAATCTTCATCAATCAATCAATCTGCTCTCATCATCACCACACACACCTCTCCTGCAGGCAAGCTCTGTTCCCCTCACAGCTGCCATCAAACAACTCTACACACCAGGTTCTCCAGACAATCCGAACCATTTCCAGAGAACATGACATACAAAGGAAAAGTGCAACTCCTTGGAGTCTATAAGCGCTATGAGCGCGAAATTGCAGCAGCCATTGGCATAGCAACATCAGTGGGACCAGTTGACGTCCATGTTCATGGTAACGAGGCCACGGTAATCGTGGCAACAAAAGCGGACTTACAAAATATCTGGAAGGCCAGGTTCCACTACTGGAGGCGAACCTCTCACCAATTCTTCCCAGACAAATCACTGCCGGGGAGACGATATTTGTTAACAGGCAGAACTGCTGGTTAGTGGGTGAGATACCGACACCATAGTGCGGCAAGTGAACGAAGAAAACCCTACTCTGAAAGTGACAACGGCTCTACTCATCAAGACTAACGACGCAACTCAACCCACGATGAAGATGACCTTCGACACTGCAGAACAGCCCCAGGAAGTAGTGAAGAACGGGAAAGCTACTCAAAAAGGAAGGAGGAACTGAAGAAAATTAGAGAGAAGCCCACCACGCTGCCGACCACCCAAAGGCAAGTAGCTGCGACCTTAGACCTTGAACCTGATCAGTTCTCAAGCCACACTTCTATAAGCCAAATGGAGAATACGACCGTACCAGCCCTACCAAACAGCGGCTCCTCCCAAGAGATCACACGACCTCCACACAGGGGATCTAATGACCAACCAGCACTCTCACAGTCCCTTGCATCATGTGCAGGCATTATCCTGATCTTATATGATTAGCGGAGAGGCTTGCCAGTGTCTGGAGACAGATTTTTCCTGCTCTCTCATGCAGATGATGGTACGAAATTGCATAGTGCACCAGTGTTGTGCACCGTGATTCAACTTTCTAAATATAACTTTAACACAGTCGTGTTGGGTGTCGTTAGACAGCTCGTGACATTTGCTAGCCATTGATATCATTCTGATCGCTGTATCAGGTCTGTGAAGTAAATTACAGGAGGGAGTTGATTTCAGGGAAATTTTTGAACAAGTCAAGTGTAGAGAGGGAAGTTTGGGGGGTTAACGGCTGTAGACTACCCTTCCCATCACGTGTCCACCTCGTGAGAGAGGAGGTAGCGTTGTGAGGCAGATACGCCATTGGCCATTGCGCTTGGGCCTCAGGAATCCTAAATCGTGATTGGTCAAGATGCTGAGGAGTATCGCATGGCATCCCGGAGCCGTCTTGGCGCCCAAATAATTATTCTTACCAGTTGAACGTTGCTAACGAAGGACGTACTTTCTCATGCTAAGGCCAAGCACCGGGAAATACCACCTGCAACGTTACTAAAGTCACGCTCATCGTCGTGCTATCTTTCCGGGTGCCGTACGTAAGAACCCGGGTCGCGGGAAGGTGTATTCAACGATATTAGCAGTGTGAACTTTAATTGTCATCTAAGCTGCGTGATCGTGAGACACCATCTCGCAGCAACTGGACTGAGGGAGGCTGTTATCGTCGTGTGTTAGTGGCATTCGCCGTCTATCGTACCTAAGCTTCATGGTATCGCAGTGAGACGAGCTAGAGAAGGTTTCAGTGTTATGAGGGAAAATTTCATTAAAATTTCCAACCCATCCTCCGAATAGACAGTACGTTTTAATACTAAGTGTAATAAGTACATTTTCATACTTACGTATTTAGTACATAAATGCACTTACCGGGCTGTTCCAGTTACCGGCTGGCCTCCCTAGAATATTCTCCCTGAAACGAGGAATACGTTTTCTTTAATGTAATGGGTGGGCTGTTTTCTTTTCTTAATTTTTGCGGATACTCAGTCAATTTTGCTTATACATGTATACTCGGCCCAAATTTTGCCTTTATAATTTAAGGTATCATGAAAATTGGACGCTTTTGAGGCAATTAAGCATAGCAGAAGCACAGTCACTGACATTCAAAGGAAAGAAGGAATGAGATAACTATTTATATTACGATTTAAATCCTTCTAATTTTTGCTCGTTCGTCAATGAGAACTGATGCCAACGCACTGGCCAATAAACTGAATAATACTGGCTACTAAACAATAGATTGATTGATTGGTGATTGATGAAGATTAAGCCACCCAAAAGGTGGCACAGCCATGAATAGCCCGTAAGTGGATGCCCTCTCTGAGCCATTACCAGTATCAGTAGATGATACTGGAGATCTGTGGAGGTGCGATCGCACCCTGCCTGACGGGAGATGTCTCCCGTGACTAAACAATAAACTGAACCTATCATAAAGAAGAACGACGACCATTGACCGTCTAGTGCTCCAACAGAGTGTAACTGTAATTAACAATGCTCAAGTCCTGACCAACAGTCAAATATTAATCCATCAGCCACGAAGCAGAGCGTCTCCCAACATCAATTCTAGTGCAGGGTCCTGTTGAACAAATTTTCCGATTTTACATAGGTTTACCGTGACAGACACTAACAATAGTAGCCTTGAAAAGGAAAGGAAATCGGCAGATTGTCGAAGGTTTGCCTGATATTTTCCAGCTATACAGTACTTTAAAAGAAAAGTTAACAGATGTTTGACTTTTATCCTTCTGTTTCCAACCATCCAATATTTACCAACCATCGGGATGAATACTTATATGACACAAACTAGACATATTAGTATGAAAAAGAACTAACAATTCTCCAAATAGCAGGACGTGATTCAGTTTTCATGGAAATATTCATTTTCGGGTGTTCGACTTCAGTTTGGAAATATGAAAAGGCACAGTTTGGTGCATTCAGATGATAAAGCTTTATGACATTAATTACAAATGGCATAAGAAAGAAGCAAATATTAGTTATATTTAGAACCTATAACAGAAAATAATTTAAGTAAAACAGTTGATATAAAAAGCTGTATATATTTAAAAGTTGTTAGTTTCATCGCAATTAATGTAAACATGTGATCATTCGTTCAAAAACAATAACACACGTGATCCTAGATTTTGCAGTCATCGGGAGAACAAATCCTTCATGCAAACTGCACCTACTATCAAGAAGAAGAAGATCCTAGATTTGGGCATGGTATGTAAAGTTTTCTCGGCATTTATGTAAATAATTCCTTCATATGTAATATTTTACTAATTGAAAAGAATGCAAATGTTTCATTGCTGTTTAGTTAAATAATTTTCAAAAACTTGTTGCAGTATTAAAGTTTTGCTTGTTATGTGTAGGAAGAATATATTTTACTGCATATTGGTATACACATTCTAATACGTTTTTAGTATGCAGCATGTTGTTTTTATCAATTATGTTTTTTATAATAAGCTTCCTAGAAGGTTGTAACAGATCCCATGAGCACCACACCAGAAACAAATACCTATTTGATATTCCAAGAGTACGACTTAGTTAAACTAGAAATGCTTTACAAATCAAGGGATCTCGAATGTGGCCTTCCCAATTATGTTAAAGACTGTACCTCTCCCAACCAGTTTAAGTTAAAAACTAAGTACTAGCTAATTAACTCAATGTAACCTACCTCACCCCCAAAATGTCAACCCATCTCTTCTATTTAAAACAATGCTGTTTGTTGACCAAATTGTATTTTACTTTTTTTCTGCCATGTTTCACCCCCCCCCCTCCCTTTTTTCCATTTTTTTCTTATTTTTTCTCAACACAATTTATACTTTAATCTCTTTTAGTATTAAGTTTTAGTCTTAGTGTTTTTCCTGCCCGAAACACTTTGCGTAATAGTGGCTTTAGGCATTGTATGTACTAGCTCTATCTATAAATCCATCTACTTTTGTATCTTACCTTGTATGTATGTACTTTACCTGAATAAATAATTGTATTTGTATTTGTAATAGGTAGATGATACAGAAAGCAGTACAATGTCTGTCACAAATCCTTTTACTGCGGCAGCATTAAGACCACAAGTCAGTAGAATAAATATGCCTGGAAGATCGACCCCAGCCAGCATACTAGCAGGTAAAAAAACATTTAATCAGCTTTTGACAAAATTACAAATAAAGATGTGTTATGTTATGTCATTGTGTTAGGTTAGCCTAGCTATTATTTCCAATTTGTTTTTTAATTTGTATTAGTATGCAGTACTAGGCTATTGTAACAAATTGGAATGTACAACGTCCAATATTTTTTTGGCAGATTTGTTCTTGGCTCCTGAAAACTATCTTTACTTACCAGATGTACCAAGAATAACTCCGGACAATAATGATGGTATTGTTTATAAAATCATTTGATTATGGCCTTTATAATACATTAATATCAAAGTTTACAACCTTGTGTAATACAGTAAGTCTTTGTTTTAACAATAACAACAGAATTTTTTTTCTATGCTCAGCATAATTGGCTTGAAATCCATCATCCCATTATAATTTCTATCACTTTGATTATTGGTTTAGACAATTACATCAAAACATTTAATGTAGCTTCTCTTGCTACAGTTATAATGTATCCTATTGAGAATGTATATTTTTTTAACAGAAGGTCTCCAGACACTAGCAATTTTAGCTAAAGAGAACCTTCATCGTGAATATTTTAAAATAAACTCGGCTCTCCAGAAAAAATGTGAATATATGAAGCGAAGTTTAAATATTGAGGACCTAAATTATCTGAAGCCTTCAAACAAGAAAGGAAAAGGAGAAAATTACTGCAGGATTATTGAAATCAATCAAACACAACGTTCAAACTTATCAGAAGGTAATTTTTTATTTAGTTATTTATTCCATGACCCATGTTTGTGTGTTCCTATATCATAGTATAATGATAGGTTTAATTGCTAGTGTAGATTTCATTTTGCCTCAGACTTAAAATTATTTAGGTTTTTGGTGTTTTATTATTCAAAATTTGTTTATAGATAATCCAAGGTTATAGTCAACTTCTCCTTTGAAAACAGATATTTACCTGAATGCCACAAACTCTAGTAGCCTAGAAGAGTACAGGAAGCCCGCGGCTTGTCGAAATTCCCCCCATTTGCCTTCATGATCTTTTTTTGGGTATATTTAGAAATTCAGCACAGTTTTGGCAGTTACAGCTCTGGTGGGTAGGCAGTTCCATGTGTTAATAACCCTCTGGGTCAAAAATAATTTCCTGTTGTCAGCCCTACATTTTGGTTTGTTGAACTTGAAACCGTTGCTCTTTGTATTACATCTGAACCAAACTAGCCAAACTTTTTTTGATAATGTCATTGACTGCTTCATATCTGGCAATCTTTCCCTGTGTCTTATGACAGATTAGGCCATGGCTGCCATATTGGTCTGCCCTTGCATAGCCGCAAATACACCGGTGTTCGGTGGAGATAGGGGCAGCGATGGTCATAGACAGCAAACAAATGTAGATAGTTTACAAATTAAAAATAGATAAAGTGTTGTGGAATTACCATACTTAAAGGTTGATTTTCTGCCAAACAGCCCTTCTGCCTGCTTCTCTTTCACCTCCACACATTCAAAGTTCTGACTTCTCAACTAGTGTACCAACATATACTCAAACATATTTACCAGCTGCAGAACAAACACCAAAATCATTGAATTCTGGTACGTCCCTATTTGAACTATGTAATGTAATATAATCTTAGTACCTAGTATCTAATATATATATATATATATATATATATATATGTCGTACCTAGTAGCCAGAACTCACTTCTCAGCCTACTATGCAAGGCCCGATTTGCCTAATAAGCCAAGTTTTACTGAATTAATATATTTTCTCTAATTTTTTTCTTATGAAATGATAAAGCTACCCATTTCATTATGTATGAGGTCAATTTTTTTTATTGGAGTTAAAATTAACGTAGATATATGACCGAACCTAACCAACCCTACCTAACCTAACCTAACCTATCTTTATAGGTTAGGTTAGGTTAGGTAGCCGAGAACCTTAGGTTAGGTTAGGTTAGGTAGGTTAGGTTGTCGAAAAAACATTAATTCATGAAAACTAGGCTTATTAGGCAAATCAGGCCTTGCATAGTAGGCTCAGAAGTGAGTTCTGGCTACTAGGTACGACATATATATATATATATATATATATATATATATATATATATATATATATATATATATATATATATATATATATATATATATATATATATATATATATATATATATATATCATAGTCTAACTAACACATTACTGAAAGCTGTCAGTTGTTCTAGATGCTTATATAATATGTATAAAATACACTTTTATTTATTACATCTATTTGCTCTTGAAGATTTTCCTGACTAATTTAGAATCCCATATTTCAAAGTACTTGCTGCAGAACTGGAGGAAATTTATGAATCTCAAGCAAGCATTTCTGATTGGCAAAAAAGAAGAAAAAATAGTGAGATTAAATGGGGAGAACGTAGGTCAAAGTTGGGTGTTCCAGATAAAGGTAAATAACATCTTTAGTGTGTAATTATGGATAAATTTCAATGCAATTATGAAATGCATGATTAATGTCAATCTCTGAATACACTTAGATGTTTGTCATTTTTAAACTTGGTATACAATATTTCTAAATCCAATATTACCATTCAAAGTACATAATTACATTATTTTTTGGAAAACCAGGCAAATGTTGTGTACAATGTAGAAGTTGTGAGGCAAGCATAAAATGTGAAGACTGCTTTCATTTTTGTGTCATAAATGTGATCAGCAGCAGCATTTTGTAATGCCTTTCCACCAGCGATTCTGCTGGAAAAATGGGTTCTTCGAGCCTTTAGACCCAACACAAACTGTGTGTTCAGATGGGAATGTCATTCACTGGAGTAAGTAATGTACCTGTAGTCTGTTTCTTATACTCTCATTTCTATCCTGAACCAAGCAGTGTTTTAAAATTTTATTTAGTTCATGTAATTTTTGTAGTAGTTTTTGTATTGGTCATTTTCCTCATTAATTATTGATTACCTCATTAATTACAGATTTTTAGTTAAATAAATGAATTTTTATTTGTTATTAAATATAAATCTTTCATGTAACTCCAGTTAATGCTAAAACAATTATTAGTAATTTAAAATGTAATGATTGAAACATGTATTTATTTTGCTGCATAGCTGATCTTGTAAATTTAATTGTTACCAGAGCCTGTTGTACCAGCACATCCACCTAATTCCTGCCCAAACTGCAGTGAGAGCAAGTTCACAACTTTAAGCTCCAATAATTTGTGCATCTTTGTAACTTTAAGTGGTAGGTTACTTTAAGAAACATTTATTTGATACTAGTATCAGTAGCTGGCATTGCTCAGGTGACCCAGGCTACAGTCTTCATCAATATAACCATTTATACTTCACTCTCTTTACCACTTTATCTTCACTTATGAAGACGTATTTATATCACATACGTATTTATAACCATACAGAGACTTGTTTATGGGTTGGTTTACACATATATTGATAGCCACACTTGAATCCCTTGCCAAATAAAATTGTTTTACTTCAATTTTTTTTATTTTTGTGTGGGGGGCAGGAATGTATGATCTGTATACCCCAATATTTAGGTGCAAGTGCGGATATGTAGATGAAGAACTTGGGAAAGCCATGCACCAGTCTGGTTTTTATTCAACTGGAAGAAATAGTAGCACTTTCTACAGCATAAATCTATTGGATTCCTGGCATTTTCTCAAGAGAAGCAGCCCTGGAACTTCGCTTCAGGCATTAGTTAGTGCACTGGAATTATTTGGTGCTTCTCGAGGGCGTGTAAGTTTTCATACCATTACTGTTTTAATAGTGCAAGTATTAAATTGGTGTATAAACTTAAAAACTAAGTTTGTTACTAAGCAAATGCAGTGTCATTATTTAAGAAATAGGGTTAAATATTATTAAATTAATAAATAGCATGAATATTCTAAATATATATTTTATATATGTCTAATATCATAAGAAATGGAAATGGATTACCAATCTTTAACAATTTCTCTTTTTATGTAATGCTCATGTAAGTATATTTTCATTTCCTGCAGGTATTTATAGTCTGTTGCTTAACATGCCACTGCTTGGCACTTTTTGATAATTACTTACACACATTTTACATCTTAGCATGGTACCTACCTTGAGGCTACCTTGAGGTGCTTCCGGGGCTTAGTGTCCCCGCGGTCCGGTCGTCGACCAGGCCTCCTGGTTGCTGGACTGATCAACCAGGCTGTTAGACGCGGCTGCTCGCAGCCTGACGTATGAGTCACAGCCTGGTTGATCAGGTATCCTTTGGAGGTGCTTATCCAGTTCTCTCTTGAACACTGTGAGGGGTTTGCCAGTTATGCCCCTTATGTGTAGTGGAAGCGTGTTGAACAGTCTCGGGCCTCTGATGTTGATAGAGTTCTCTCTCAGAGTACCTGTTGCACCTCTGCTTTTCAACGGGGGTATTCTGCACATCCTGCCATGTCTTCTGGTCTCATGTGGTGTTATTTCTGTGTGCAAGTTTGGGACCAGCCCCTCAATTATTTTCCACGTGTAAATTATTATGTATCTCTCCCGCCTGCGCTCAAGGGAGTACAGATTTAGGCTCTTTAGTCGGTCCCAGTAATTTAGATGTTTTACTGAGTGGATTCTAGCAGTAAAGGATCTCTGCACGCTCTCTAGGTCAGCAATTTCTCCAGCTTTGAAAGGGGCTGTCATTGTGCAGCAGTACTCCACTCTAGATAGCACAAGCGTTTTGAAAAGTATCATCATCGGTATAGCATCTCTAGTGTGAAAAGTTCTTGTTATCCAACCTGTCATTTTTCTTGCAGTTGTGACGGCTACTTTATTGTGTTCTTTAAAGGTAAGGTCTTCCGACATGAGTACACCCAGGTCCTTTACATTGCCTTTTCGTTCTATGTTATGATTTGCCTGCGTTTTGTACGTGGTTTCTGTTTTTATATTTTCAATTTTTCCGTAGCGCATGAGCTGAAACTTATCCTCGTTGAATACCATATTATTTTCTGTAGCCCATAGAAAGACCTGATCTACATCTGATTGGAGGTTTGCCGTGTCCTCTATGTTGCCAACTCTCATGAAAATCCTAGTGTCATCTGCAAAGGATGATACAGTGCTATAGGTTGTGTTCTGGTCTATGTCCGATATGAGGATGAGAAAAAGTACTGGAGCAAGCACAGTACCCTGGGGGACTGAGCTCTTCACGGTTGATGGGCTGGATTTTATTTTGTTGACTATTACACATTGGGTTCTGTCAGTCAGGAAATTGTAGATCCATCTGCCTATTTTCCCGGTAATTCCTTTTGAACGCATTTTATGTGCAATAACACCATGGTCACATTTATCAAAAGCTTTTGCGAAATCTGTGTAAATTACATCAGCGTTTTGTTTGTCTTCCATAGCATCTAATGCCATATCATAGTGGTCCAGCAACTGCGACAGGCAAGAGCGCCCTGTTCTGAAACCATGTTGTCCGGGGTTATGGAGATGCTGTGATTCCATGTATTTTGTGATCTTACTTCTTAGCACTCTCTCAAAAATTTTTATGATGTGCGATGTTAGTGCTATCGGTCTGTAATTTTTTGCCTCTGCCTTATTTCCTCCTTTATGGAGTGGTGCTATCTCTGCTGTT